AAAAAAAAAAAAAAAATCCTTTTGGTTTTACTCTCTTTGTTAAAACTTCATTTCAGATTACTTTGCAAGTCTGATATTATTGATTCTTTAGGTTTGCTGTCTTATGAATTGTTGTGACTCCAAATTGCAAGTTAAGCAAATAACAAAACAACAAAGGGCAACGGATTAGGCAAGGTAATATAAAGTTTTTTTTTTTTTTTTTTTTTTAGGTACAGAGTCTCACTTTATCACCCTTGGTAGAGTGCCATGTAGTCACACAGCTCATAGCAACCTCCAACTTATGGGCTTAGGTGATTCTCTTGCCTCAGCCTCCTGAGTAGCTGGGACTACAGGCCCCAGCCACAGCACCTGGCTATTTTTTTGTTGCAGTTTGGCCAGGGCCAGGTTTGTGTAAGGGACCAGCACCCTACCCACTGAGCCACAGGTGTCTCCCAGGTAATGTAAGTTTTATCACATGCAATAAAGAATTCTGAAGCTTGGCTTGGCGCCTGTGGTTCAAGTGGCTAAGGCACCAGCCACATACACCTAAGGTGGCGCGTTCGAATCCATCCCAGCTACTTGGGTGCCTGTCCCAGCTACTTGAGAGGCTGAGGCAGGAGACTCGCTTGAGCCCAGGAGTTGGAGGTTGCTGTGATGCCACAGCCCTCTATCCAGGGCGACAGCTTGAGGCTCTGTCTCAAAAAAAAAAAAAAAAAAAAAAGAATTTTGAAGCTGAAAGGGACTTTAGAGATTATTCAAGTCCAGCCAGATGACAAAATTGAGCTCCAGAGGGGGCAGTCAGCTTGCTGAAAGCCATACAAGAAGATAAGGTCATAGCCAGAGTTAGAACTAGAGACTTTGACTCTCTGGTGTTCCTTCCCTTATATCATAAGGTTTCTGATCTAAAAATGTATGTTCCATCAAGGAGGTGCTACTTTTCATACATATTCTTAGGAAAATTTAACATTACTGTCATTCTACACTCTTAAACTAGCTGTATAATTTTGACATTTCACTTAAGTTCTGTAACTGCTGTATCACACTTTCCCACCATAATATGCATAGTTGGAGGTAAGAATTAATGATGGCTGATGTTTATTTAGCAACTGTTGTGTATTAGATTAAGTGCTAAGCACTTTCACATACATCTCTAATCTTCACCATAATATTACAAAGCTGGTGATATCATCATCTACAGATGAAGCCATTTGGTAGCGATTACAAAACTACGAGGTAGGGGAACTCAGATTAAACACAAGACTGCCTGTTTCTAAAACTGCCTAAGCTCTGAAACTGGGCTTTAAGAGTTTTATCAGAAAATAAATTGGAGGTACTAATCTGCAATATTAATCAAAAATTTTAAAAACTGTTTAAAGGTCATTTAACTATAATGTAGTCCATTAACTCCAAATTAAATCAAAGACTAGACTGAGTTATTGTTTTTAAAACTAAGCTTTTGAAATTCTTTATATTTTCTTTGTTCTGGAACTAATTTAAAAGCCACATGTAAATTGACAAGCTATGCAATTGGCAAACTGTTATATAATATAAAGTTGTATTGAAAAATTAATCCAGAGTGGTATGACAGCACTAACAAATGGAAATGTGAGGCAATTATCTAACAAAAGTCCTATGAATTTTTGTGGGTACGTTTCCTAAAATAAGTAAAAGGGCTCATTCCTCATACTGTTTTTATGTAAATCCTTCACTGATTTCATTTGAGTAGCCCATAATTCTGCAAACCCTGAAAATCAGTCTGTGATCTATATAAATACTCTCTTAGATTCGATGTTTCATGCTTTATGCTTCTAACAGAAAGATAAAATCAGTGGAGAACAATGATGGAATTAGAATATTAACGTTTTACAGTGTCTCTCCTCACATAATGCTTCAATAAGCACTAAAACCAGCTGATTAAAACTATTTAACTCTTTCCCTCCTTGTGAGTTCTCAACACCTGAGCATTTTCATTAAGCAGAGGATGTATTACTATATAATAGAAATGTTGAAATTAGATCATATTTAGGAGTGTATCATTGGAAATTAGCCTGGATTACTCAAAGCTCGCTTCAATGTATATCACATTGCAGATATAAAACAAATACTCAAATAGAAACTTAACTGAAATGAGGGGGGAAAAATGAAGCCTATGGACGTTAAAACTTTGGATAATGTTAGACTGCAAGTGATTTGGCCTTAACCTGCAAGGATGGCCTTATCACCTCAGGAAATCTTAAAGTCCCTGTTGTCATTTCCTGATAAAATTGCAAGTCAAATGCCACCGAAAACACCATCTTTTCTTTTTCTCTCGAGCAGCAAAGAGCAATCACTACCTGAGAAAAGCAGTGAATCTTTCCCAGCACTAGCTATGGACAGACCACGAAGCTTCTTCCTGGAAGAAGGAATCTCTCTTATTCTGGCTTGATGCCCCTGACGGCTGGAGACAGAGCGCAGGATAAAGTACTCAAAAAGGAAAATGCCGGGGGCGTGAAACAGATAACCCAGCTTCAAGCTGTCTGCAGAATTATAATGGCCAGGAACCCAAAATCACATTTCCCAAAAAGGTTGGTTAAGAGAGAAAGAAGCCACGGACGACCCATGCATGGTTCTAGGACGAGCTAGAAGGGGGTAGGTGGGCAGACCTGCTGAGAGTCTCCTTGGCGGGAGTTTCCTGCTGACAAACGACCTCCGAGGTTCTTACCCGCGGCCATCTCCGGGGACCCGTGTCAAGCGGGCACGTCCTGCCCACCCTGCTGCCCAGGCAGTCAGCGGGCCAGACCCCGCTCCGGACCCTCTTCCCCCGCAACCCTCTTGCCCTACTTGCACTTACCAAGGGCGCTGGGGTCCCTGCTCCCGACCTTGGGGCGCGCTCGCGGGGCAGGCATCGGGAAGCCACGGTCGTACCCGGGCTGAATCGTTTTTTGTGAGGGGCCGCCGCCAGGCTGCGCCCCCTCCCCAGCGGCGCTGGGACTGACAGCCCGCAGCGCCAATGCGCGCCGAGCGGGGGCGGGGCTACGGGGCGGGGCGGGACCCGGGCCCACCTGAGCGCGGCGTGTGCTGCCGCGTGGGAGCCGAACTCGCGCTCAGCCGGGGGCGCTCGCCCGGCAGCGGGATCACTTCTGGGCGATGGCCGGGACCACCGAGAGCGAGAGAGCCAGAGGACGAGGGTAACAAGCCCTGCATTTTCAACGAGGCAAAATAACGAAGCCCAGTTTTAAATTATAGGTACTCCAATTACAAATCCTCCCCCCCAGTATTTATTAAAGAAAATTCATAGAGTGGTGAGGTCACGTTTATTTGGAGAGAAAATTACACCTATAGATGGAAACAGAAAGAAACCAAACTTTCCGAAGAATAGGTTTGTGTGTAAGGAGGTTATCACAGTTCGTTGTCCCCCAATAGGAGGCAGGTGGCGGCTATGCGTGCAGAACTCCGTAGTCTGCAGGAGCAACCACATCCATGAGGGCAGGGTGAGAAAGGCGAGGAATCCAGCTCCCTCCATCTTCTACACGTTACCTATTTCCACAAGTAAGTTGAGTAGCTTACAAGTTTCCCTACTTAAGATACCTACTTGACCTGGTCCCTCTCGGTTAAACGGGTGGGGAACAGAAGACATTGCTCACAATTCCAGTCTCAGAGCAAAGGGCACAGGCACTATCTACCCGCTTGCCTGATCGATGAGGCTGTATATTTTCAAGCATTTACTGAGCCTTTATCTAAACTTGCTGCCCATCATGAAAAGCACCTTAAATATTCATTTGTACACAAAGCATTAATGTAGCCCCATGAAATGTGTTGCTTTTAGAGTTTATCATGACTCGCTTGGGCTTCTTGTTACTCTTGAGGGCATTCCTGGGAGCCCCAGCTGGGAGATTCAACAAGATTCATCACAATCCCAGCCCCTCCACTGGTCCCTTCAGCACAGCCTCCCAGTGAAAACCTGTAAGGCGGAGTGAAGCACTACTGAAAAGCAGGTGCACTCATTTCCTTTAATAGGATCATGATGTTTGGGAGAGTAAATCTCATGTACGCATTTTTTGATGTTTTTCCAGAAATATATTTTATCTTTGTTAAGATTCTCTAGCTCTACTGAGACGTATTAAGAAAAGAATTTTAGGGCGGTGCCTATGGCGCAGTGGGCTGGGTGCCGGCCCCATATACCCAGGGTGGCCCGACCCTGGCCAAACTGCAACAAAAAAATAGCTGGGCGTTGTGGCAGGCACCTGTAGTCCCAGCTACTTGGGAGGCTGAGGCAAGAGAATCGCCTAAGCTCAAGAGCTGGCGGTTGCTGTGAGCTGTGACGCCCCGGCACCATGAAGGGTGATAAAGTGACACTCTGTCTCTAAAAAAAAAAAAAGAAAGAAAGAAAAGAATTCTAGGGACACTAAAGCAAAGCTGAATCTCAGTTGCCAAGATCTTAAATTTACAGATAAAAGATACAAGGAATGTAAAACGGGAAAATCCATAAGCATCTAGTGTATTTGTAATTAAGAATTCAATTTAGCTTTGTTCATTTCAGCAAACACAAGTCTGTGAAAATGACCTTATATCCCCGTATAGGTTGTGAGTCCTGTTTGTTGCCATTTTTGAACTTTAAACAAGCCAAAAGTGCTCATTCATCCAAGGTTTCTCAAACCTAGCAGACCTGAGCATTTGCAATAGTTTCAGGAAAAGAAAAATGAGTGTATCTAGATAAGGACAAGGTAGAATAGCTGTCTTATTAGAAATTAGTGGAAGGCTCGGCGCCTATAGCTCAAGCAGCTAAGATGCCAGCCATACATACACTGGAGCTGGCAGGTTCGAATCCAGGCCAGCCTGCCAAACAACAATGACAACTACAACCCCAAAATAGCCGGGTGTTGTGGCA